ACCATTGTCCTCTCCAAAATTAATGACTAGATATGTACGCACCATGAACGGTCCCTTTTATGCATGGCTTAATACTAGCCACATTGGCCTTAAAGCCGATGAATAAAATATTTTTTCCTTTTCATGCGTGTTGTAACGGTTGGCGGGGTGGTCGGCCCCGACGACCCATCGGATATGTCAAAACTCAAAGTTAATACATATTACAGTGAGTCACTCATTACACATACACGTTTTAAATGCGTTGATAAAACACCAAATTTTTCAAGCAAACCTAATATCTATTAGATCCCTTGAATAGGCGACATTCTTACTGTACCCACACAGCAGTGAGATGCAGCAATGCTAATGTCATCTGGGCCACTCGTAAGGGGGACAAGAAACCACAGAAGAGAATGTACTTGTCATCGGATGTAACGATGGTGCGGAGTGTCCTTGAGTTTCTTCTATCCTCTATTGAGCTTAACGTATTCGACGTTGGAGTTTATGGTACATATGGAAAAGCAGGAGGGTCCTTTAGCAGAGGACAGCAGCTAGAGTTTCGGAAAGAAACATTATCGCTGGAAAATTGCCTCTACCTGTTGTATGTAAAATCACCGCGTTGGCATTTCGAAACTATTATCACTTTACGCGCGGCGATCTATTTTACAATCTTCTCTCACATGTTCCAATGTTCTAAGAACTAAAACCACCGATATTCTCTGACGAGCCTTGTGAATTGTCGCTATGTGAATAGGAATTCGTGTGTAGGAAGCATAAACATACTTCTGTGAGGAGATGCCTTTTGTGTACATAGTAAGCGGACGACCGATATAAAAGAGCAAACTATAAAGGTATCGCAAAGTTGTTAAGGCTAAGTTGGTCAAACCCTAACTACTGCGATCTTCCAGACCCGGTTCCTTAGAAGAAGATAGAAGTCGTGGAAGCCAAGGTAAAAGGGGAGTGTATTCTGTACAGAATGAGTAGGAAAAGAATCAATAGAAGGGTTGACTCGGGCTGAGGTGGAGTTTGACCATGAGGAGCGAGAGAGAGAGAGAGAGAGCGCCGCAGCCTCGCGTCAACCGCGCACCGGGGCGAAAGGCCGAGTGAGTTCCGCCTTGCCTGTTGAATGGGCTTAGTGTGAAGTGTGTTTCTGCCAGCGCTGACAACAAATCCGGCGCATACCAGTAATCAGCGGTACGCAAAATCGACTGACTGATTTACTGATTTGACTGCCAATTCACGCTAAGTAGATCAGTCATCACAAGTGTTGAGGCGAGTCCAGTGTGAACCACTAATCAGCAATGCGACAAAAATCGATTAATTGGCCACGTTGACAGAGCAGGCAAAATGCGTGATCATGGCAGCGCGGGGGGCAGGCTCCTACAAAGGTACAAATTCGGTAAATAAACTATTAGTTTAGTTATTATGAATTGAAGGTATGTTTGTGCGTACTTTTTGTTAAATGTAGGCAAAATCAACCAGTACTGCGCTTTGCCCCTGTACGTAAGGGGCACAATAAACATCGACTGATTCATGGCGAAGTTCTTAAAGCAATTACAAGAACTTCGTCGTCGGCTTTACTGTGTTCAGTGCCTGCAAACAAAATTCACCGATATTATTTAATTTTCTATGTAAACGGGTGCCTTGTCATATGCGAATGCTTTCGTTTATGGGAAGTAAGAGCTACATGTTCATATTTAGATGATCAATAGTATTGCTTCCCTGACATAATAAAAACATTCGCCCATAAAGCCTGTCCTTCTAGGAGCAATAACGTTATTTTGCAATGGCCATAACGTCCCTAATTTCCTTTTTCGTAATCGACACACCAATTTATCATCTATTATTTTAGGCCTATTTTCTTGCATTTTATGCGAAATGCCTGCATCGATATTTTTCAATATCCGCTAAAGAGAAAAACTAAGATTAACTGTTTTATGCGGAGACAACGCCGAGGTTGTTTTGCATGCAAATCAGGAGAACTGGCATATGTTTAAAACCTATTTATCGAATATAATATACACAATAAACCACAATTTTAGTTATTTAAGTAGAAAATCGATTATCACTTAATATGACTTTTTATACTTCCATCTTCGTTCCTTTTTTATAAATTTGTCTGTCTTCTCCTGATTCATATTTGTAAGGTTTACTTGCAGACTTTGCGCTTCAATATAAACAAAACACAGAGTCTTTAATGTATCTCAAAACATTCAATACAAATTTTTTGCATAGGAAATAGAAACTTTTGGTCATTTACAAAACCAATTCCTCACATGAAAAATACACAGCAAAGAGTTATTTTAGTTATTCAAATGAGAAATCGATTAACGCTTAGCTTTTTACTCCAATGCAAAAAAGCTCGCAACATGCTTGATGTCCCAATGTCTTTTTACATAGACAACCCTACGGAAGCCCTACTTGTCTATGTATCCGGCCGAACGGAAACACAAACCATATGGGTGAAGTTTCAGTTCCCTTACATTAAAAGGGATTTTGCCATGGTGTTCATTCCTGTACCGAACATTAATGATCCACCTAGTCCACCAGCTTGGATAAATTGGCAACACCTGACACTTACCGAGATGGACAGTGGACGATCGGGAACTTCGCCCATGGGAACGACTGCGGGACCTGGAAGCTCGGAAACTACAACCAGCGGAATGAAAGCGGGAAGCGGAAGCACGGGAACCCCAATCATGGGCACTACTGCCGGACTTGAAAGCTCGGAAATTACAACCACAGGAAATACAGCCTCGGCTATGAGTCCTGAAATCGGTGAACCCACTGGTGTCCCCTTCACCTGCTCGTAGATTGTTCCGTCAAACGTGAAGTACGTCCTGAGACAGAACTTCAGGAGCTGTAGGATTTCGGCATGTCCAAGGCAATTCGCCGTCTCATCGTATTTGCTTCGTAGGAGCAGGTCGACGGTCTCGACTACCAGATCCTGTCGGACAGAAATAAAAATGGACGTGACATCGAAGGAAACCATAACATCACATGACAGGAGACTTACCTCTTTAAGTTTCTCCAAGAATTGTGTGGATGAGCGGACAGTGGTCTCTGCATCAGAGATTAGGAATTCTAGGCGCCGAAATAGCCATTTAGCCAGTCCGTACGTTGGAGTGCCTTTCAGTGATACGATGGGCCGGAGAGGAGCACCCTCCTTGTGCACTTTAAGGAGGCCATAGAAGTGAGCCACGGACGTATGTTGTGCCACTTGGAGTTGGAGTCGCACACAGGCCGGAAGCAACCGTCAGCGTCAGCTTATGAAACCGAAAGAGCCACTGCCACGGC